TAATTGGATAAATCAGTTGTATGTCTATATTTCTCATGTATGGAACTACTTTTATGGTTGTAGTATCTTTAGGTAGAACCATCATATACTTTTTATCATTACGACTATTGTTAGGTTTATTGCTCTATACCTCTACTTTGTATACCATACATTCATGTTGTCATTTGCCCTATAGTGGGCAAGTGATCTAGTTGATGCAGTTACATTTGGGGGAATTGATATATTGTGTCTTTTATCTTTCTCTATTCGCCGTATTGGACATACAACTATAACTCAATTTAACGGTGTTTTTGTTAAAAAATTATGTAAGACGTTTGACGAGGAAAGTTCTTTTTCCATATGTTAAAGGATATCTTCCCTAGTTTAGTGGGTACGGCTAAATTTATGCTAGCGTAAACCATCAGATTTCCCTAGCACTATTTTTCCACTTATGACGAGCCTTAGAATTTTCATCTGATTTTTGCAGACAAGCTTGGTTATATAGCCGCTATTTTTAACGCGAAATCATAATCATATTCGCTGTGGTTAAAGATGTTGATATTACATGATATGGGGATAACATAATACCAATGGGGATATGTTTACAAACTTGTTCACGGTTTTTTGGGGTTTTTTTTTTTTTTTGCTAAATTTTTCCCTGATATCGGTTTTGTATGTACAAATTGTATTATCCGGGTTTTATCACATCACCCGATTATAATAATGATAATAATAATAATAATAATATATATATATATATATATATATATATATATATATATATATATATATATATATATATATATATATATATATATATATATATATATATATGGTATATTTAAGGAGCAAATATTAAGTGAAACAAGTTTGCTTAAAAGGAATCGATTAGATATGTCTTTTTAATTCATTTTGCATTTTTCTTTCGAGTAACTTCGATTGTCTCAGCCATTTTAAAAAACGAATGGGGTGAAGTTTTCATAGTCAGCATTCTTTTCCTTTCATTCATTTATTCTCTGGAAAACTTGAAGTTTGAAATCGTCTACGGTGACATCATGCGTAACCATTATTGGTAATCAACCCGCACAAAATACGATTCAATTATATACTTTTTAATTCATGATTATTTTTAATATTTTACTTTTTTCATTTATTATTAAATTTTATTTTCTTTATTATTTCTATTTATTCATTTTTATATAGTTATAATATATTTATCACATTAAACATATCATATGAACTTCAAGATACGTTCTCCTGTGGTGAATGATGATAGTTGCATTTTGGTCTTTCCTGGTGTCCTGGTCGTTAAGTGCACATTTCAATCTGTTAGACAATATGATGCATATATCAGCCATGCAAGAATTTGTTACTGTTTTTAGATTATTAATTTTGTAGATACAATCGTACAGGGGCACAAATATTTAGGTAAAACATTATTTTTTACACAGAAATGATTTTTTAGGTTTCGTGTTATTGGTAATAATTACATTTGATGCTCAAGAACACATGGCACAGTAGATAAAAGAGGTTATTTAGAGCCAGTGACAGCAATCAAAGAGTGTGTGTTCAATACCCGCTTAAGGCAGTGGAGAACTTGGAGAGGAGAATTAACAGGATATAACTAACATTCATTAAACATGGCACGTGGAACTAGGACAGTCTACCCCAGTGATCGAAATAAAGGGTTCAGTTCGACATTCCAACCATCTGAAGGAGGGTCCGGAGCGTACAGAGGCCAAAACGTTTTTATAAATATGGCGACAAAGATGAGGACAATAGACCAAATAATGTAAACTTATACTTAAGCTTCTTACGACAGATAATAAATATTAGATGTTTGTAATGATAACTGAGTAATATGTATCGGCGAATTATTCATTTAATTGCTTTTTCATCCTCATTATATTTAGGTTGCATCTTGTTACGATAGAATAAGTTAATAGCATTTTGTTTTTATATTTGTATGAGGAGGGGTAACACAATTGTGATAAACCATTAAATCATGCAAGCGTTTCAAGAATTAAACGTACACAGAGACAGTGGTGGTAAATACTTGACGCATATCTAAAAGAATCAATATATTCATTTAAAAAAAGATATGGAAAGCAAGTAATTTAATGGCGATATAATTGCCTAAGCTCATAGCAAGGTTTGTTGCTTCCTTTTTCATTAAGAAGAATGAAAAATTTACTGCTGATCAAATCAATAGAATTTAGCATATGTATTCTTACCTTGTTCTTTACAATAGTGATCTTAGTGTATTGATATGCATGAATTTAGAAGTAATTTGTTGATACAATCTACCATATTCTACCAATCCTTACAACAACAGAAAGTACGTTAAACGAGTTTGAAACGTTAAAAGATAATTTCTTCAGTCGAATTGAAATTTCTGATCTGGGTATACCAGATGTACACAGAGAGGAAGAAAGAAGAGCAATAACAGAACAATAAGAAAAAGACAATCCAGATGAAACAGAAAACGGAAAACATTCAATACCCGTATATTGAAGAAAGTGTTCAGTACAAAATTCCGCAAAGGTTGCCTTGAGTGATACCCACCCGAAAAAGAGAGGAAGATATATTACTCGAAACGTCTTGATAATGTCAACAAATATGAAGAGATTAGTTCAAGTGTAAAGGATTAATATTCAGATACTAAGTATTATTTGTATATTGTGTGTGTATCATAGCTAATATTGATTTGGTTCAGAAATAAATTTAACATACTTTGTATTTTAATTGAATTTAATTCTTCTATATGAAATGAAATTACGCTCTGAATAAAAAAAAATCAGCGCAATATGAAGGGAAGTCGTTTCAAATCCCATAGACATCATGGAACTTTGCAACGAATCAAATACAATAAGTAAATCAATTAGAAAAGCTAGGAAACCTTTAAATATTGGAAATTAGATTCCTGCATGTTTGCGAAAACAAAGAATCACCAGCGTTAATATATCAACTTGTTCGGCAGGAGGTAACATTTGTCACCAACGATTAAAGATTGACTTCTGAAGTGAGTGGAAAACAAATAAAAATTGGATTAATTCCAGAATAGTATTTTAATCTAATATGAATCTATTTAAAAAAAATCATTTCTCTGTTTACTGTGATTTACTAGGTATTTATATTACAGATTTCTGTTTTCTATAGAAGCTTATGCAACACAAGTTATTCACAGGTTTCGTTTCATTCAATCATCAAAAAAAATCCTTGCTGTTTTATGACCTCAAGCTAATTTTTAGTTGATTTTTATAATCCCGATTATAAAACCAAATTTGGTTCCATTACTTTTCTCCAAATGTTGCAATATCCTTCATTTTCAAATGTCTGATCAGATCAGAAGTTTTGAGTGGAACTGCAAAAAAAGAAAATTGCTAATTTGAAGTAGAAACTTTAAAAATTACTATATAAACTATATGCACCTAACATATTGCACAATCAGAGATTCTCCTCATATGTTCAAGAAAGATTAATTAATTCTAATCCCCCAAAACATGGAAATAATTTGTTCACGGTATATTCAATTAATGATCAAATAGTGAATTCTTGAATGCTGCTATAACTGTCACTTGCGTATTGGTATACTTGATCCGTTGTTATTATTAATGTATTTATTAACCATAAGTGACTTCACATTTAAGAAGGACGAATAAAAATTTGGTTTTTAAAGCAGGAAGAGAATGTCTTTATGGTTATCTCGGCTGAAACCCATATTTCCAGCTTCTGAGATTGTCGCAGGGCTATATATGTAAATATTGTCACAAAACAATTGATCCAATAGGATCACTCCACTTCACGTCAGCGGAAAATATGAAACGGAGAATGCGCAATACATTGCTCTCCTGCAGATTAGTATTAACCAGGTTTATGGAAAGCAAAATTGGTGTCTATGATGATGATTAAAATATAGCAGTTTCTTATCGGAGGCGTTACAATATACAAGCCATTTCTTGCCCCAGATAACAACTAATTGGGAGTCATTTTCGAGATCAGCTTCCGGTTTAATTTACCGGACATACAATTAAGACAAAAGTAAATAGATGTATCATCAGCATAAATACTTAGCTGGGAACATATGGTATCGGGAAGGCTACTAATAAATACCATGAGGTACGTCAAAGGATTTAGTCCTGGGAGACCTCTGCATTAATGTGAAATGATCTATAAGCGTGGCCGTTCAAGATAACCTTAATTTGTGTATAACGATTAAATAGAGTCAGATATTCGGCCCAAGATGCAATATCCTATATAGGCTCCGGGTTTCGATCCTAGCTAGAGGCAACCGGACATCTACCCACACTGAAAAGCTGTGATACAGCGAAACAGTCTGTCTGTGGATGACAATATATAGGATCCTGAAAAAATTTATTTCGCTTGAGCTCTCTGGGGGAGGATGTGTGCGTTTGTAAGCAGTATCTATTACGGCTATTATAGCAAGACTCTTCGGTAAAGCGAATCGATTCCTCTCAGTCACTGTGTGTTTATCTAAAATTAAATATGCTAAAAATTCACCTTTATCCCCTGTCGTGCGCCGACTACCTAGTGATAGAATCTCCGACTAACGCCAATTCAGCCGGGTTTCGATCCTAGCTAGAGGCAACCGGACGTCTAGCCACACTGGAGAGCTGTGATACAGCGAAACAGTTTTTCTGTGGATGACAATATATATATCTATATATATCTATATATATATATATATATATACAAAAATACACTGTATATATATATATATATATATATATATATATATTCACAATGTTTTTGTTTGTGTCGAACAATTCTATGTGGCTGATACTCAGGTTACAAATTCTACAAACCAATTCACGCTTACGTGCTTTCGGACCACAGCGACTGATCTCATATTTTGGCACTCTGCCCGACTAAATAGTTGGTTTTGTAATGAGTATATACATCTTCGATTGAACAACGTAGATTTAGATGTTAATTTCAACTTTGTTTGAATGTTATATTTTGATTCACAACGTTAATGTAAACATTTTAACAATTATAAAATGTCCTTTCTTTTTTTTCACAATCGTTCCGCTTTCAAAATAATATCAGTCTATCTTCTCTTTTCCTTTTTGTTTCTTCGTTCAAAGACACATTTGAAATGTGACTTTTGCCAGCCGCTTGGGGGTTGGTTTCTCGATTGTTCTATTGCGGCAAGTCAAAAGCAATTTCAAGACGATTCAAACAGATTAAGCCTTGATTCTCCCACGCGTTCTGGCGGAACAAGTCACCACTAGGCGTCGCTGTATTGACTGGCATTCATTATACAGAAGCTTGTTCTCTTCACACGCATGCGCGCCTGATCTCCTCTCTTCATTGTATCTATTTCACGCCCGATTTCTTTATGGTCTCAACTTTAACTCCAATCTAAAATATCTTTGGCATAATTTCCTTATGGTTTTCTTTTTATAATCACCAGGTCAAACTGAAATGCGTCCATTTCAGTAAGTAACAAAAAATACCAATCTATCAATCAATCATTTTACTTACCACCCTAACTACTTACCTTCCAAGTCTTTCATTCTATCACTTTTTCTTGACATCTGTCTTTCTATCTATCTACATTCGCAGTTAAATTTTCTCAAACACTCTCGAGATTTAGCTTTGTTGGTTTTATACCATATTGAAGACGATACATAATAACACACACAAGCACACAGAAATATATATGTGTGTGTTTTCTATGTGTGTTTTAGTGCGTGTGTTTGTGTTTGACTTCAATGGCAATTGACTGAGGAGGTACTTCAGTTAATATAAAAAAATTGACACAACCTTGTCAATCATTTTCACCGAATATATATATATATATATATATATATATATATATAGAGAGAGAGAGAGAGAGAGAGAGAGAGAGAGAGAGAGAGTGTGTGTGTGTGTGTGTGTGTGTGTGTGTGTGTGTGTGTGTGTGTGTGTGTTGGGGGTTCTAGCACACACACAGATGTAAAGATCTTACATGAAGATTCTGTATACACTGTGCGTATTTAGAATCACGGTCAAAAATTAACATCCTCTAACAAAGGAACAATGAAATCATTAAATATTTACTCATCGGAAACTATGATTTACAATTGGAATTAAAGTATTGATGGCACGTAGACTGAATTCATAGAAATTTCAGGATGTGGAATTATGAAATGCTAAAAACTCAAATACACTGGTGTGTTTGAATCAGTTCTAATACAGCAAAGGAGATAAGGAAATTGAACATAAAATTAGCTACAAATTATAAGTACATATATAAATTACCTATTTTCGCCCAACAACGCAAAGTTCTACAAAACGAAAACATTAAACTGAAAACTGAAGCAATGTCTTTTAATAGACTCCCCAGGGTATGAATTTGATATTGATCTCATGCATACCACAAAAGAAAGATTGAAAAAGTCAGCTCCATACAATCGCTTTCTAAGAGCAACGCTTAGAACGTCTTTAGCCTGTAGAACTTGTTTAAGAATTGTCGACAAATGCTATAATAAAGACAAACAAAAAACTGTACAAAATAACAGAAATCACTTCACTTGTGAACTAGTAACATCTAAAACAGGTATCACGTTTAAATGAAAGAGAAAATAATGGCATAATCAAGATGCTGACATTTCACATTACTTCAAACAAAATGTTAGGAAGAAAACTCAAATCAGTACTGGAAAGAGAGATTATCGTAAGTGGGTTTCAGAAACCTAATTTCCAAACAAAATGGTTTATTAGAAAGGTTTCATAAATTTCAATCGGCAGTAACATTGGCTACTCGGTCATTGAATTTCAAATGTTTCCCTACAAGAAAACGGTTAATATTTCTATTACCAATATTATTATCCATTTTCAAGGCGTAGATATATTTTTACCTCCTAAAAATGGACAGTTCTTACAGTGTACTTCATCTAAAAAGCATGTTCTGCACTTTAAAATATAGCTTCAAAAAAAAAAGAACATTAAAATATAATCTATCTGTATATACTTAACGATCATACTTTATACTATAGAGACACCTTGACGTGGTATGATGGCGAGAGAGTTTGTCGAGAATAATTAGTAGGGATTTTGATCCAGACTGGGTGCCCAAACTTCCGGCCGTGTGGCACATCAAATCACTATACAAAACCCTATAAATGTTATAATTCATTTTATATAATAAAAAATGTCTAATCTAATTTTTAACAAAAAATTCAGGGTGATGTCTATATTTCTGAAATGAGGTATTGTAAGTATTTACGTTATTTAGATTGTTTAGACTGTTGTCCTCATCTTTGTTATCATATTGACGACTTTTGTGCTTCCATGACCCAGCTGATAAAAGCGTTGCTTGATTGATCCAAAAAGTGTTTTGACCCAAACAATTGTGAGTTCAGTGCCTGGCCACAGCAGAAGGAACAAAGGATTGGGCAGTTGAGTTACTAAAGCAACTGAAAATCAAGATATTCAAAGGTATGATACGTGGAATGTAAACAATCTACCCCTACCGTGGACTAAATATAAGGTTCGGTTCAAAATTCTAACGTACATCACCTGAAGAAGGTCGGCCGAAATCTCGTGAGAACGGCAGTCTGAACAATGTAAATAGTGTAAATAATAATCTAATATCTCAAAAATCTAGCCACTGTTAAAATAATATTGTTTTCGAATGTTCATGTTCTTTGGGAGATCATAATAATAATAAACATACAATTTTTACCTTGGTAACATAACAACCACATTTTCTCGTGTGTTGGCTGCAATTCGTGCACATGACGATCATAGAATCACAATCAACCAAAATTCAACTTATTAACAGAATATACCTTTTAGATAATACTACATTATTATGCAAGAACTACAAAAAAAAATTACTCAAAATTCTAGAAGCGATTATAATCCAAATTATAACCTACATTAAATAAAATATATTTCTCCACTCGGGATGTTATAATAAATTCTGTGGAAAATATTCGATATGCATACAAAATAATTAATACGCAAAAAATTAATAACAAAATATGTAAATATTTCCTACACCTTTTCTGTTTAACCGTTATGTTATGGTGTCATTTTGAATTGATTCCAATTTCAATTTCTAAAAACAAAATGAAATAGGAATATGTATTATTTGGAATACATACATATTATATAGGAATAAAATGTCGCTGCCGACACTTGAGTTTGAACATAGATCGCCAGTGATCAATTAAGAAAACCACGTGAACATATAGGAAACACATATATGGGAGGTAGCATGTCTGTAATTGATCGCTATTTCTGTTCTATCCTCTATTACTATACGGATCAAAATTTCTAGTCTATAGTATTTCTCTGTTCGGATCACTATACGGATTACCATTCCATCGTGTATTACCGAGCAAGTACTATTAGTGTGAGTGTTATTCGAAGGCGCCTGGCTTCAGTATTGTTCAACGACGTTACTATAGTTGTATCTGCGATTATAAAGTCTCTACTACAACGAGCATTACGAAAGTGACAACGAGTATTCGTTGACATCAAAAAGTGGCAACGAGTGTTCGTTGATATTAAAAAAATACAACACCCTGTTTTTGTTTAATGACTGAGATAGTCGAAATTACTTGAACAAAACGGAAACAAAAAAGAGCTGTAACTATTTTGTAATTTCAAATTCGATATACAACAACTTAATTGGGAATAATGATAACTTATTTGAGTTTGACGTAGACAGTCGAAATTCTCTTCTTCAGACAGAATGTTGACAATTGAAGAACCTTTCATGGAATCATCACAGTTTAAATGATGACAGTATTTTGAAAATTTACAATCTTGGTCTCAATTCAAATTCTCCCTAAAGTATTTTACAATTTATGTAATGTCCTAAGTACACACATTATTGCATGAATTAGTTTGAATCGATTATTCAGCTCCATACACAGAACTTGGTATTTCTTTTGATATTTTCCTCTTGGAGGTAGTGTGTTCGTGCTTCCGTCACATGATGTGTCTAAACTGGGATATCTCGTAGCCTGTGACAGTCTACCATTGTTTTTGTCTAATGTTCAGACCACGCCAATTTCATACTAAAGCCTAATTTACAGCATAGTTTCCAATGTTTTTTTTTTACCAATCCAATCATGTCGTCGTTTGTACTCCTGTTCCAACTTGGGAAATTCAGTGAGAATGTGTCTCATCAGCTTAAAAACACATTCTGCATTTGCTTTCTATTTGTGATCTGTCTATTCTGACCTTTGTGCTATAAATATGAGTGATTCTGTTTCTCCCCTTAGAAAACAATCTTTTAAACAAGGCCACCTCTCAAATCAAGCAATTGTCGCTGTCTATTAACAAAAAAATAACTATGAAACTCCTTTCTTCTAACTTGACATACTACCACTTCTAATGTTGCTTCTTTGCTGCAGTCATTGACGCAACAATTCGCGTTTCCAAATTCCCGCCCAATTTACGTGCAATTGTCAGTAGCAATTCATGAGAAATCTTAACATAATTCTCCCAGAGCATAGCCAAATTCTTAAAATGATTCTCCTAGAACATAGCCAAATCCTTAACATAATTCTCCCAGTACAGTCAGTGAATCAACTTCTTAAACACTCATTAACCCATAGTCTTACACTTCTTGGAAAATACGACTTACCTACATCAGGGTTTATATTCAGAGCCCCATGCATATTTATAAAATTATATATATATATATAATCATTATTATTATTATTCATAAAATGATGGAAATATCTACTTATAGATTAACGGACGGAGATTAGAGGATGAGATTAAGTAGGCTAGGAATTAATGTGTCACCTCCTATAAGTGCTAACCACGATCAGAGTGTAGTGTTTCCGCCTCATATCAATCGGATTTATGTGCTATATTCGGCAGTAGGATTAGTGTACTGTCTACGGTCTCTGTGAAAAGTGGAACGAACACAAAGTTACAATATGGATACATGTCACTGATTATTATTATTATTATTATTATTATTGCATGAGACAGCAGAACAGGAACCGAATGATACTGACTAGATATATATATATATAAGAAAAGTAATATATCCATCATGTCACACATTCTGATAAGAGTATATATATATATATATATATATATATATATATATATATATATATATATATATATATATATATTTATTTATTATAATTAGTAGTATTAGAAATAGTAGTAGTAGAAGCAAAACTAAACTTATTAGACTAAATTATTTAAAATAACTTTTACAGAGACATTTTTTAAAATTTTATTTTTTTTTACAAATATAATTGATGGGTTTCAGAATTTTCTTAAGCGACGTTCTTACGATATCTCGTTGAGCAGCACGTCGGCAGGTAGAAGCTGATGTATCCACAATGACACAGTACGCTTAAAACCTCTTCCCGGAAGATCACCGACTGATCCAGTTCTTTCAAACTGGGCGATTAAGTTCTGAATCATGTTATCGTTAGGAGATACTCTGACATTAATATTTTGCTGGTAATTTCTTTGGGTTTGATAATTGATCTTTAACTGGAATAGAAAAATTGAAAGAGTTTAACAAATTGCAGGAACTCATTCGGAACCATTTTATCTCTAAAAGATGCTCTATAACCTCCAAAAAAGAAAAGAAAATAGGTTGAAAACGAACACGTTCTGACTTTTTGAAACCCTTCAGTTTTTTAATGGCCACCCTGTATTTTTTGAATCAACTCTTGTCTCGTATAGCAACCAATGTAGAAGAACAATTATTCCAAAAGTTACATCGCACTTCACTCATGCCCACTCAGGTAAATGGTTTTGGTAGCAAACTTCAAGAACATATCTATACAGCAGTTTCTTACTATATTAAACATAGTTTTGTCAACTCCAACGACGACACTGTTGCCAAACTGTATCGTATCTTACCTTACTTGTGAACAACAGCAGATCGTGGGAAAAAAAGGCATGTAGTTTATAGAAAATTTGACAAGATATTTTTTTCTAAATCAGGGCTTGCGAAAAAGATGGACCTCCCCGCTGTCCGTGTTTTATAAAAGGGATATCTAAGAAAAATAAGCCTAACAATTTCCTGTTGATAGTGATAAAGTTTATTTTAGTAAAAACAGCAATGATAAGGACACTTGTTCTATTAAGACTTGATATACTAATAATATTACATTGCCGAAATTTATATAATTTACGTGTTAAGAAAACATGAATTACTGCATAGTTGTTAAGAAAATATCCATGTATAAGTGGTGGGTTGTTTTAAATGTGAAATATTTTAATTCCAATATGAAATGATTTACACATCGTATAACAAGTTAACTTTTGCCTGGCAACATGTAAAATTATTTAATCCAATAAAGGAACACTCTTTTTCAAAGAGTGTTCCTTTATTCGATTATTATTGATGATTCTTTGCTTCAAATTCTTGAAAATAACCAATGTCTTAACACGTGTAAAATGATATTTTAATACGATTAGCAAATACTCTTTCTCGTTTAGGAAAATATCAAAATGGTTTACCTAAATGAATCAATGATAATTATCAATCAAAATATAACACAATATTGCATGTTGATGGAAAGAAAATATATCGTCCCCTATGTGTTGATATGAACCATTATAAGAAACAAAAAGAATACGAAACGTTCCACAAACAGTTCATTTTCCAAATATAGTAGGGAATTTCAACAGTTTGTTTTGCAATAGTTCGAAAAATAATTAATGAAACTTGATAGAGAATTCTGTAAATATGTAATGTATATTATCACGTGATATTTTATCAAAAATAATAAATGAAAAAATAAAAGCAAAAAAGAGAAACCCAGGAATAAAAAAAATTCCTTTTGTGCTACAGGCTTTAAGATCGTTTTAGTTTGAAGAGATCAGACAAGAACATTTCTGGAACAAGACGAAAAATAACAATAACATCACTCACTAATTCCTCCCATCGGAATGTGAAAGCTTGCATCACCAAATGAAGATTTGATATCATTTCCATCATGTTCAATTTGTGAGAAAGCCTTTAACCCGATCTGCTGTCGATTCATATTTACTTGAATCGCAATGTAATTCCAACCAGTGCTGCATTAGAAAAACAGGATTTTTTTTTTAATTTAATAAACTTAGTGACGTTATTATAATTCCATTGGAAAAAGTGTAACTTCTTTTTTTTGTCTTTTAGTCCGTGAGGTCTTATGTACATTACTGCTTTCTTTCTATTCTGAAGAAACGTTTTCTTTTTTCATTTGGACATTAATTTTTTTCTTTCTTTTTGATACATTAGTTCCCTCTTTTTTTCTTACTTTGCTTTGTTTTCTTTCTTTCCCTCACGTTTTCATTACTCTACTACATTATTTATTTATTTTTCCTTTATATTCATTCACTTTCCCTTTCATACATTGTTTCTTGCTTTCTTTTCCTTTCGTTTTATTTTATCTTATTAGTTACTTTTTCTCTATCTTTGACTCTAGCAGATTATTTCTTATTTACTTTATTATAGCTTTCTTCATTTTGTTCATTGTTACTTTCTTTCTAAATTTTATGACGTAGTTTAACTCTTTCTTTCCTTAGAACATGAGAAGCATTCATTCGTTTGATCTTTTGTTAACAAACATTATTTTTCTTTGATTTAGTTTTTTTCCTCCTTTCTTTTTCCAAATCGTTAATATATCTCATCTTTCTTTTTTCTAGCCATTAATGTATATTTTTCTTTCTTTTTTATTTTTATTCATACATTTTTCTTTCTTTCTTTAATTTCCTTTCATCTATTGTTTCTTTTCCCATATTTTTTTCCTACTTAAGTTTTTCTTTACTTTACTTCATTTTTTATACATTTTAATTTTATACACACTTATTTCTTTCTTAACACTAATCATATGACTCAATGACAATTTGTCTCTCACTTTCATTCTCACTGAATCTTTATTTTCTCTCTCCAACTCTCTATTTCTCTCAGAGTCTCTTGCTTTATTGCTTCCGACAAATATTAATATTTTTTTCTCTTTTTATTGTCTATTATTAGCAGCATTGGAAATATATCTGTATGTTTAAAAAAAACGTTTAAAATTCAACTGACCATTAAAGATATAAACCATTGTATAAATCCTAATCTTGCTAGTCGTTAGTTGCAAACATATCTTTGTTCCAGTAACGTTTGAATGATATATAATGACATGTATTCCTGGGACCCACATTTGCTCCGAACTGTGATGTGGAAGATGTGAGGTCTATAAGTGACACCCTTACAAGGGATATCTTATAAATTCGTGTATTCTCAAGCCCACTCAACACAAAACGTTCTAATTGAACAACCGTAGCTCGGATTCATCTCTAAAGCACGATATCAGCATGCGTAACCTTTAAAGCTCTGGCAGAGTAGGTTCAATACCCCGAATTATCAGAATAAGAGAAGACTAATGGGATATGTTAAGATATTCTCTCAGCATTTCTGCTACACCCGGAGATTTGTAATTAGGTACATTATCTACCTAGATCAAAATCAACCTCTTCCTCCAGAATATTACAATTTTCTCTCCCCTACAGGGCGTCCCAACAAATTTAAAATTCTTTTAAAAACGATTATCTAGAAAACTACTAAGTCTAGCTCAATGAATTTGAACAGTTTATGTGTTGAACAACATAAGTTCATTATGGGACCGATTTAATAAGTGTTCAGTATGTGCACTGACTGTAACATGGCCCACGTCAAGTCGGTAGTTAAGCTCTTGTCAAACACGCTGTCAATGGAAAGGGGACTCTGATGATACCCGAATAAAACAAGTTCTTATGACCAGACTACGCATAGGACATTCACACTTGACTCACTTTTACATCCTGAAGAGGATGGATCCTCCAAAATGCTCCTGCGGAAGCAGACTCACAGTAGAGCACTTCATGTTGAAGTGCACAACAATCTCCAAAATAAGACGAAATTATTATAACCATAAGAGCCTCAAAAGAGACTTTGAAGAGACAGACAGCAACAATATATATAGTTTTGTTTCTGAAATCGGCGTCCATAACAAAATTAAAAAAAAATCTATTTTGTAATTTAACCCAATGCCACGATTAAGCTCTGCTAAAGTATTTGCAAGAGACTCTAAGGCTGGAATATCAGAATGGTGTGATTATCAATCAATCTATCTGATTGACAAGATTTAAATATCAACATATATATCTTTATATCGAAGTATGAATGACAAGCTATCTATTTAGTTATCAAAGCCCGTATATCTATTGTTGGCATCAAGTAAGCCAATGAGGTTGATCTGCCGTAAAACACAAACAAACAATCAAACACGCTGATGTTGATGATAGTCTACAGGGATCCTTTAGCACTGCATAATCAGACTTGCTGTTTAAATCATTGGTCCCCAATCTAAATTTGTTTGCCAGATAATGAAGTTCTTCCAAATTTTGCAGTTAAGTCACGCTGCACAGTTTTGGGTGCCTGTTTGCGAGCATATTCCAAGGCTTCTCTTTGGGAGTGAACGGTATAGCTCAGCCTGAAAACAGAACAAAAATAAAACATTAAATATAAAATATTGATCTATTTGCATACATTCTATGAAAATTTGAGGTTATTTCAACAAGAATTGCGAAAATTATAGGCCTTATAATGATGTCAAATTTTTTGGGACATCCTATATATATATATATATATGTGCATGTATGTATATAATGGACTCTCCCATCGTATGAGAATCTGATAGCTTAATTGATTCAGTTATGAAATTTTGTGCGAGAATATTAAGTGGCACTTAAGACCCGCTAGTGATTTACAAAGGAGGCGACATATGGAGCTAGAGTGAGGATTGTGAAATGAGATCACTGTTAGATTGGCTGAACTTTTAAATCTTGCTCTCTCTTCTTGAAGATGATTCAGACATGCAGCTTGAAAACTGCCGAGTCCACTAAAACACGATCTCCATTCTAGCCGCTCCAATCTAAGCGCTCAAGGGTGTTATGTGGCATATTGACAGCTGACAATATATATATATATATATATATATATATATATATATATATGATTGGTTGGAAAGTCTGTGCTTCAAGGATAACTTTTCTTTTAATGTTCTGCTCATATCTGGTGAATAAATTTTATTTATGTCCTATTTTTCTTTCGTCAAAAAGATATGGTAGTAATATTCAATGCACTAACTGATTGTAGGATTATAAATGGGTAAAAATATCTAGCATGACACAGTGAACCAATCTTCCTAGCAGTAGACATAACAATTGATTCAACATAATCGTTCCACTATATATCACTCGGAAGCTTTAACCCGAGAAGTCGCAATGATTTACTAATCTGGAGGTTAGCTTCAGACATACTGTCGGAAAGGGGAAAAATTATCTAAGACGACTAAAAATGCGCTGTCTCTTTTTGAAGCTGTTCAGATAAAGAGTTATTTTTTGCCACAATTAACAACTGATTCTAGGACACCTTTGAAATCATCTGTTAATTTATCTTCATCAAATCAATCATACTCAGGATTAAGACAGGATTAATAAGTTGTGTCATCAGCATAGATATCAAGTAGAGGTTGAGAAGAGATCGAAGAATAAAGTAATTCTCTGAATAGAGGCTTTGAGGACATCAGCTTAATTGTAAATATATCTAGAAGAGTGGTTGTTTAATACAAATTTCATTTCATGATTTGATAAGCAATATTGAATCAAATCAAATATTCAGCAAAAATAATATATTTATGAAGACAACCAGCATGCCAAAACATGCAAAACGTCTTCAAGATATCGAAAGCAACCACTCGAACTTTACCGTTCACTTCTAAATCTTAACAGACTTTTTCAGCAATAACTATTATCAGATCGACATTTGACCTAGGGAAGCAAAACTCATATCGTTTATCTGAAAGAAGACGAAGTGAGACGAAATGCTTAACCAATCCGGAGTTACTTAGAGCCTCTAGTACTTTGCTGAAAAGAGATAAAAGCCTAATAGTTGGAATTATTCAGACGGTACGAACGTTTGCCTTAAAACAGGAGCTACAAAAGTTAATTTCCAATATGTTGATAGTCAAGGATCAGTAAGGGATTTATTGTAGGGCTTAGAGAACTGGTGTCAGTTCAGAAGAACATGTCTTTCGGCTATTGTATTTATACCATACAATTCCCGTGCTTTTGTAAGCATCAAGTTTTGAGACGATAGAAGAAACTATGAAAGGAATTAAATCCATAGCACAGAGTAGAGTTAGTTCCTGTCGGATATGGTGAAAGAATTCTGTAAAATATCATAATTCCGAAATATAAACGAATGGAAGTTAGAACCCGCCTCATTAATACCTTGTTAACAATATTACAGTCATTCAGGTCATTTTAATATTTAATTTTTTATATGTATATGTGTGTCTGTGTGTCTCTGTGTCTGCGCGTCTGTATGTATCTGTGTGAGTATTGTAGAGTGGTTTCTCGTTGACTTCTCCACAGTGATTTTATCAGAACCCAACCTCTAGTCAGGCAGCTCTGTCTCTTTGGCATTTCTAATTATTCTTTTTTTGCAGTGCTCATAGCCACCCTCGCAGTACCCATTGATTTGCTGCAAAGGATCTAGGTTGAGTCACCATCAACTTGAATAAAAATATTACTCGCATCCCAATTTCACAAATTTTAGAAGCACTGTCTTCTTTGTGGCAGTAGCTAAATTAATTTGTTCAGGACAAATTCAAATGGGGATTTTTGTTGGTGTGCACCTACCAGTTATTTTTATTTGTTTAGGATTTACGAAAAAAATCATGTCTATATATGTTTTATCTCCGTTAAATTTACTATAAAGTCTCTTGTTTCTTGTATCTCTTACTTTCACGCAGCAGCCACTAAATTCTTTCAATCGCATTCATTTCCCTGTAAATATAGCAGCCTTTGGCAATGCCGATCCAATAGAAAATAATGCATAACAGTTTGTTTCCGATAACACGATAAATATCACCTAGTCAGATTTTTTTTCGCAATGATTATGACATGTTGGCCTTATTAATACTAATTCTACAACCACTGCTCTTTTCTCATTAACGTTTATTTCGTTGAAGCATAACGAGACAAGATTTACTGAGAGAATAACGTTATTATTCATGGAATATCAATGTATTCCTAAAGTGATTCTAGATTTCATTGTAAATTATATTACTATTAATATACATTGATAGGATTATTACGCACACTGTCATCGACTGATAATTATTTTCCTATAGAAATGCATTGAAAATAAAGTAATGATTTTTTTCAGTAGTAAGTAATTAATGCAATCCTTCATATTAAAATAGGAATGTTAGATGTAAAATGCTATAGATTTATGGTAATTTTCTTATTGAAATTCATTGCTTATAAAGTAGAATATTATCGCCATTGGTCGAAATTAATAAAATCAGTATTAAAAGAACATTATGATGTTTTGTTAGTTTAAATGTACGTACAGAAATTTCATTTAATATTTCAAATGTATTGTTCTCATAAAGCACCGAAAATACCTATTATTGTTTAATTTGTTAATTTCGGGAATAGTGAGGTAAAATTATTTAATTAACCATTAACAATTATACAATTATATCAATTTTATTTAGTTCTCATTATTTCTCAGCTTAGGCTATATTACGCTGTAACAATGGTTCTCGTACGGTCCGCGAAGTTAAGCAATGTCGAGGATGGCTAAAAGAGTAACAGCTCTGGAATACAAGGTGGTGTAAGTTCAAATTCTAGTCAGGTTCGTTATATCCACTTCTGTGCAAATATCCATGGGAAAGCTGTCCTGGGTATGACGATAATTTACATCCGGCAGCAAGGTCCCTAATCGAGAGGATTTGAGGAACGTAAAACCACCTATTAAATGGTGCTGTTCACAGGTTCACTCTGATCCGGGATGATACCGCTTGTTAGGGTCCCAGGTATGGAAAAATAGTTACTCACAAACTGTGTTTAAGACACTATGAAAGTATAAGATTTTAAGGGTAAAATACCAGCAATATATCTTTGAAAAAAAAATACTACCAGAAATACATTTGACCCTCGCCAAAATACGTCAATGAAACTTGATCTATATATTGATTTCTTACAAAGAATACCTATTCTATTTATACGAATCTATTGTAAAAATCTTGTCGGTATTGAAAAACCCATTGAGGTGTTGATATTCTGTAAAACAATATGAACCAAGGCATGAATCCAACTTTTCTCTGCCCACTCAATAATGAGTTAATTGATAGAAATTCTAGCAGTAAATCATGATTATCTCCCCCACCAATTATTACAATCTAAAACTATTTTCTGAATTTAAATAACCTGAAAATGTTGATATGTCGTAAAAAATCAAATCAATGAATATTATTATTTCTTAGCCAATACAAAGCCTAAGATCTAATCAATTTAAAGGAGTACAAAATGAGGTTGATGTAAAGGCGTATAATATGAGGTTGATGTAAAGGCGTACATTATGAGGTTGATGTAAAGGCGTACAATATGAGGTTGATGTAAAGGCGTAATACATGAGGTTGATGTAAAGGCGTAATACATGAGGTTGATGTAAAGGCGTACAGGTTGGTGCAAGTAGTGCGTATCATGTCGCATACAATTCTATAGAAATTTGTTACTAGAGCTTCGGAAGAGTCAATTCCATTTAGTTATGGAATTAATATATGTCTGAATAGTGGTCTCGTTGGATGAGATAAGAATGTAACGCAAAAATTATTATGAATACCCGTTAATGTTTAGGAATGTGAATAAGACTTTAATTTTGCTTTTATGAATCCTATTTTTAGGAGATCCCTTTTTATACATAACCTCATTTGCGACATTTATATTTTCCTCTTGTTTTTTCTTACGACTTCTGTTTTCATATTATACGTCGTACAAATATTCCTATTCCTTGTTTTCGTCTTTCGACACAAATCTTTAAACTTTCCATTTGCCCTGTATTTTCTTTACCTAGACCCATTCATTTGTTTCTTTCTTCGTAAAATACTTCACTTTCACATCTCGTTATCTTTTACGATTTGAATTCAACTACTTTCTTCCACTCCCACCTAACCCCACATCAATAGCTTTCAAACATCAGTTTTCTTTCTACTCCCAATAAGAATGTTGACAAAAATTTAATTTACATACATACATGTGTTCCTTAGAGGATTGCCCATCTCGAGGCAACATTGCTATCTACAAAAGACGTTTCTCTCATTACTGGGAATGATGGCTTGGAGTCATTACAGAAAACTACTGTAAATCAATTTATATAAGTAAAATGAATCTGCTCTTCGTATGAATTAAATAAATTAATGTAATCAATGTTGAAATGACAGATGAAGATGCAGTTGTTTGAACTCTGTGTAATAAGGCTTTACTTGGATATATGATATATTGTTTACTTATCAGTTTAGATATTATATATTTCAGGGATGTAAGGATTTCGTTTGTTTCTTAGTTGGATTCTTGTTTGGTTGAATTAACAAACGAGAATATTAGTTTGAACATATTGAAACTCGAAGAGCCCTTGAAAATGGGAATACGTTGAAAACAGGAAGAGTACTTGAAAATTTTGAAAACATGAGAAACACTTGAAAACTTTTTAAAACGAGGGGGCCATTAAGCATATGTTGAAAACACGCGGAATATTTTAAGACATAAAAATAAAGGGGAGTTGTTGAAAATCTGAAACATACGTGGAGCGCTTAAAAACATTGAAAACATGAGGAGTCCCTGAAAACTGTAAAAATTCGAAGAGACCTTGAAAATCTTAAAAACATTTGGAACCATTGAACACGTTGGAAACACGCGAATCTATATAAAAGATTGAAAAAAAAACGAGGAGTTTTTGAAAATCTTGAAAACAAGAGGAACTGTTAAAATTCTTGAAAACACAAGTGTTTCTTGGTAATCCTGAAAACACGAAGTCTTTAAAAAACAATTAAAACACGAGGGGTCATTGAAAATCCTGAAATCACAAGAAACTCCCAAAATATGCTGGTAGATGGAAAGACGAAAATCCGTGAAAAGCATTTAAAAAATAAGAATCCCGTGGAAATCTTGAAAACACAAGGAGCGCTTCACCAACTTGAAAACACTAGGGACCTTTGTAAATCTTGTATGTACGACGATCTCTTGAATACATTGAAAATACGACGAGCTCCTGATGATCATGAAACGAAGAGAATCCGAAGAATATGCTTGCATAATATTTTTTTAATTTTACAATTCAGAAACTCCATTAACTCATAATTACTTATTAAATAATAAATAAATTAACAACTAATTATAATATATAGATTAAATGTTTATGAAATAAACATAATCACTACTGTGAACAAATACATAAAATAAAAAGAGAACTACAATAATAATATATTTACTCATCACATTTTTAACATATTCACCGAGACGACGATACTTAGAACAATACATTATCGAACTGGATTTTTTATAGGCTGACATAGACTTGACAACATAAATACAAGAATGAATCATTGTCGATGGTTGATGAGGTGTGTAAACATCTATTCAACAATGCAGTTATGGGGTATAAAAACAAATGGCTGTTAACTATTAGAAAACAAAATGCATAACTGTTCGAAAAGGAATGCTCTAAATTGAGAGGTATGTCCTAGGGATGTCAAAATGAAGCTGGTGTAAAATTTTAATATTTAGTTATTGATGTAACAGACGTGATATAGAAATCTGAAAGTGTATAATAAAAGAGAAAGATCACTTGTAAGAATTAAGAAAATTATTTAAAAGTAGAAGAATTTCGTTATAATGAAGGAAAAGAGTGTTCAATCTCTATTTAATACTTACTCTCCTATACGGTAATGGATTTTGTATAATATTCTCAAAGATAAAAATGAATCTAAGGATATGATGGACAAAATATATAAGTAAAGAATAGGTTTTCAGTAAAATGAATCTAATAGAAAACTTGTATTTAAAAGTACAATTAAAATGACTGGACACATGATGAAGTTAAGTGTTTGATAAATTCGATACGCAAATGATATACTGAAAACAACAGAAGCAGAGAGAAACAGTTTCTAAAATGTTTAACGAGTCTGTGTGAATACATCGCAAATGATGGATAGGGAATGTTGGTAAATGATCAACCAAGAATGATCGCAGTCGGAGTCATATAATCATTGTGAACTCAACGACTTTTCATTAAACGCATTTAGTAAGATCTTTACCGGAGCTTTGTGGATTTTTTTAAAATCCAGAATTGCCCTACACTTAGAAGGGCTGACAACTAAGTCCGAAGTACCGATTTAAACCGTATCTGAATGGGAACAGTTATGGATTCGTAGTTTTATCAAGTTTATTTACCTAGGTATAAATGTAACGTACTTGAGGCGAAATTCAATCTCGGCTCTCCGAGTTCTCATTCCTATCCAATAACAATTGCACCACCTGCGCATCCAGTTACTAAAATCATCATATGACAGGGATTTGTGCAGAGACACAATAAAAATATCAATGAACCACAATACCTATTAATGTTTGGTCTTTAATGTTTTTAATCCAAATTTATATGAGACCTAATATATTAGTCAATTCAGTTTAACATAATTACATTTTGCGAACACTCCGTGAAATTTGATATCTTTTATCTTCCACAAGTTTACCAGTGTTAAGTTCAATATTTTAGATGCTAGTTCTTAAGTCTTGTTCAACGTACAACCGGACAACGTTGTGGAACTTCTGCCATTGTGTGTTCGATTCGCTTTCATTTTTCCATCAATTATTGGGCGTGACTTACTGTCACACTGTGTTGCCAGAATTCATAATAATTTAGACTTTTATCACAAAAATTGTAATCATTATGTACCAACACCAAGACAACCACAGTTTCGAAAGTACTAATCTAGGAAATCTTAGGGGTATCGTGCTGTATCTTTTAAGACATCGCTGTTCAAAGCCAATGAACGCTGCATTGGTCATCTTTCTTATTCAGATAAATTGATCGGGTTAACTTTCGTGAATTATAGTAGCAGAACCACTATAATGGTGACCTCCTTAACTATACGACACAGTACAGAGCGCTTAATCTTGTTGTATATCGTCGTTAATTGTTCAATGGCGGGTAGGTAATCACTATGGTGGTCCAAGTAGTCAAATACTCTTTGTTTTGAACTGATGTTACTTTTCGAATGTGACACCATAAAGATTTGTTAAGATGTCAGAATACAGATTAGTAATTTATGTATAATGGTGTGGGATGTGCTCATGTCGCGTGGTTTGTGCCTGAAAGTTGACAAAATCAAATCATTGATTTGGTGACCGGTACTTACATTGCTTCGAAACGATATGTTCCCACTTAGGAATTCGCTGTATTTCAAAAACTATAGGCTATTTCAGCAAATTAATTCCCCTTGTTGTCCTTCTCTAGTTGACGTGAATTGGTTTGATGAACATTTTGGTGACTTTCAAAAAATGTTGTGACTACCACGTTCGAAAAACTTGACTCAACACAATCATGTATTGGAAGTGCTGTATAGATTTGTTCACAGGATAGATCCTGCAACCACAGATATCAAGCATCTATGGAGAGCTATCGAAAAGTCATGTAACACCTGTCGGGATCTCAATTTTGGGTAAATAGAGAACCCCAAACTGGGGTCAATACATGAAAAGATAAAAATGCATTAGAACATTACCAGTAACAATTTTTTTATTGTAAAGAAATTAACAGGCAATACATTATTGAAAAAAAAAAATTACCAGAAATACTTTTAAAACATATTACCAAAACTCTAAAGAGATTAAAAGAAAAGAATTAAATAACCCTTAAGATGATATGCTGTTAAACAAACAAAGCAAACCGAAATATCATCCCTTTTACATTTTATTGTATTTTTTCCAATTTTCGAGTCTAATATATAGTGGTTTTGAAATTGTGGATAAACAGTAAAGATGGCGTCAGAATGGTCTCTTTTAGACATTCAGATTTCTAAAGAATGTCAGGATATATCCAATGGATTCTTACGTACAACAACGGACACTACATGAATCTTGAAAATGACTGAGATTGTTGAAAATACTTTCGATTCCAGTATCCAAATTTATCCGAAAATTGGAAAAATAAAATAACAAATGTAACAAGTCGAACTAGTTGGTTGAGTTTTTAAAAACTTTTTAGATATTTATAATTTTTTTATCTTTCTTCAGAATCAATCACAAGAAACTTATTTTATTATTTACTGATCAATTCCAATTTTATCGCTGGTTGTGAATAGTAGGCTCAAAGAAATATGCCGGCCGCTAAATGTGCTGTGTAGTTCTATTTGAGCAGATAGACTCTATTTGGAGTGGGGTCAGGTAAGATCTTTGAATGACATGATCTCTTCCTATGCGTTGATAACAGGTTACCGCGGTCGGATTGTCCACTTAAGAGAATAGAGTCCGCCGTGCGACAAACATTAGAAATGAGAAAAATTCCTTGGTGGCAGTTTCTGGTCAGTGTAATTTATTGGACAAGCTCTTAAAGAGTGGCCCGGACAACGCTCTCCAATTAGCGGAAACACGACCCTAAAACAGTTGAAGCCTGAGAGAAAATAAACGGGCGACAAGATAATGAAACAGACGGTAAAGAACACGTGAGTGTGATTCAAAGATCGACTTTAAGTAGATCAGCGAAAACGTAATATCTCTGGACGCCACTGATATTAAGTGTTCTTCTTCTCTGAAAAGCAAATATTCTGATAAGGCGGGAGTCTCAACAAAAAGTACTTTGCGCCTGCGTAAATAGAAACTAATTGCGCTGCATGTTCCACGAAAGACATTTTGTTTCTTTGCAGTAACCGTGCAAGGATCTATCTATCTATCTATCTATCTATCTATCTATCTATCTATCAGTTCATTATCTATGTATCTATTTATCTATCAGTTCATTATCTATCTATCTCTAAGATTGTGATTATAGATTTTTCCTGATTCTTATTCTCTCAACTATATTGAGATAAACGCTACTTCTGTTTTACATTGTCTTGAATTCTATCAAAGATGATTCCTCTCCTTCTCTCTCACTCTCTCGCTCTGTATTTCGCTCTCTCTCTCTCCCCACTCTCAGATATATTGATATGAATTATCTCTCTCTGTTTCTCCCTCTCAAAGACGTTGACTTCGATTCTTCTTCTTCTTCTTCTTCTTCTTCTTCTTCTTCTTCTTCTTCTTCTTTCTCCATTTGCTCTTTTCTTTCTGAGAGATGTTGACATCGATTATTTCTCTTGCTGTTACTTCACTCTCAAAGATATGAGCATAAATTCTTTATCTCACTTCGATCCTTTGAGTTCTTTTTATCACTCTCCGTTATATTGAAATATACTTTTTTTTAAAATATACCTGTCACTCATTTTTTAAATATATTGACATAAAAACTTTCTTTCGCTGTTTTTCACTGGGAAATATATAGGCATAGGCAATTAATTTCTCTCTTTTTCACTCTTAAATATAACATAGCTTCTTTCATTCATATATTTTCATTCTCAAATATATGGGCATTTAACTGCCTATTCTCTTTTTCCTTCAAATATATTGACAACTATTTGTCCTTTATTTTTCTTTAAGTTCATTCTCTCCGTTTTAAATAGTTTTTTTTTTATTTTTGCATTTACTTTCCTTACTCCGTCTATTGCTCTTTCTCATTCTCCAAGAGTTATTTACTTATACACACCATACGTTCATTATCTCCCTTCTTCCTTAATTATATCTCTAAAGTTCTTATGGCTTTGAAACAAATTCCTGAAATAAAGAATTGCCGTACAAGCTCCCCAATCACATTGATCATTCTTATTTAATGGCCTTATACCAAGCGTGCTAAACTTAGTAAAACCTCTCGTAGTTAATCTATTCCTTTTCATCTTTCTCTCTATTTTCTTTTTTATCTATTTATTTTTATCTTTCGCGTTTTCTATTGTTTCGTTATCTTTTATCTTCAGTCGACATTTTCTACACTTGTATTTATCTTTCGTAATACCCCTTTTATTTCTTTTCTTTCTCTCATCCTTTTGTGTTATTTTTCGATTCGCTTGTATCAAACTCTTCCTTTATAAGTCTATGAGCAACGGTGGAAAAGAATTCCTGCCTTTATTGCTTGCTGGCTACATGCAATAACACAGACTTCGCCGACAGCGACCACGCTGAATTTGTCTCGCTACATGCCGATATCGTTTTTGTTACAGCACGCCATACTGCACCGTGACCAGTGAGCACAAGTCTGCAGTCTCCCGGGCTTGTCATTACATTGCCACCCATCCCTAAGGCAGATGAAAGCTTTCATGTCGATTTACAGTCAAGTGAAGCAGGCAATATCTCTTCTTCCCATGTTTTAGGACTTTTCTGTTAAACTTTCACCATATATGACCAAATGGCCATGCTGCATTTATTGAAATAATACGATCGACCAAACAATAAGCAATTGAGATTGTGTTCTTGAGAGTTCAAAGAAGGATCATTAAAATTCACTACGTTTTTATTATATTTTAGTATCTTTATAGATGAAGCTATAGTTGCTCAGTTTTCAAATAACTTATTTTGATAATATAGACTAAATTCTTGGAATTAGTTTCGTTGTCATTGTTCGAATGAAAAATTCATGTCCTGCTAATAGATACTAGCGGATACTGTAATAAATCAAAACAATAGCCTCTTTTTTTAGTCTAGTCTAAACCAGAAGTCTGAATAATATTTTGACTTTGATGTAAACTGGAGCTTTCTTTACCTTTCTAATTCCTAAGTAAACCCGACATAGGATTGACTCTATTTAAAACTGGTTCCATCTTTAGTTTTCGGAATCTAGGTTAAAGCGTAAACAAATTAATATTTAAAAAATTAAAGAACTAATTTTTCTACTTCTTATTACTGTAGACGATATTGCCGATTAGAAATAATTTTTCGAATAATAAATATCGGTCGAGTAAATAAATCTATTAATTAATTTTCTTTACGTATCGGGTACGAAAACAAAGATAGAAGATAAACATTTTGAAAGGTCTCCTGAAGATATATGTTGCAATTTCTAGTCTATTCCTTTATGTCATCCACAGGAGTAGATTTTTCTAGTTCCACATGCAATCCCGTTATTTTTTTTTCATTGATATCTTCCTTTCAGTTATCACCATTTAGTAACTCTAAAGTTTTCGTTCACCTCTGCCAATACACAAGGACAGATGGCCCAACAAACGCTCGTATCCACTGGATTCATGGGCCAGGGCATAAAAGCGTTGCTTGAAGTAATCCAGTAACGACATAAATAGTTGTGAGTCTAATGCCTGGTCATAGCGGAGGTGAAAAACATACTTGGAGAGTTAAATTACAGTCAAACCCCGGGGAAGAAATAAAGAAATCGTATAAAATGTAATAATAAGAAGGCCGGAGCGTACAACAACCGATATCTCGTGAATATGACAATAAAGACGACTACGACAATCCGAACAATGTAAACAGTGTAAATAATAAAAATACCTCATCTTATGAAATATAGATAGATATTATCATTATATATGACCTGAATATTCCGTTTAACATTGCTCGGAGTTTTGTGCAATATTCAGTCGCTGAGTATAGACTGATGGCTACATGATTTATAATTCTAATAACGAAATGCTGGCGCAATCCACATATTATACGGGGATCACTGGTTTAAAAAACAGATATAAAAATGTTTTATTTAAAATGAACGGGATTTATATTTTTAAAAAAAAGCGGATTAATGATTTTATTTTATATAAAAAAAAACGGAGATTAATTGCCTTTTTAAAAAGATGTATTAAAATATTAAAAAAAACTCTAAAAATTTACGATTTAAAATAGACAGGATTTCTGTTTTATATTAAAAATAAAACAGAATTAAAGGCTTTATTTTATATTTAAAATAAACTAGGATTAATTGTATTTTTTTAAAATTTTGTATTGAAATAAACTGACTTAACACACACACACACACACACACACACACACACACACACACACACATATATATATATATATATATATATATATATATATATATATATATAATATAAACTTTATGTGAACAGATGCGTTTAATGGGTAAGCATTGGCTGTAGATTATAGATATTTTAAGTTTTTCGGGTGGCAGCGATTGAAATTAAGATAGCATTGACCGTCATTAGACTTATTGTATAGTGTAGTGAAGATGTGGTTATTATTATAACGTACCAGTGTGTCCAGAAACGAAATGGGATTGATAGAATATTCCATAGTAAATTTGATGGTGTTGTGGTAATCATTAAGTTGTTTTCAAGATCTAGAAGACTGTTCTATCCGTGTGTCCTGTTGGCGCCTATATATATATATATATATATATATATATATGTGCGGCGAACGAGAGGGATACTATAGTATGCAGGAAAGTGACTTGGTCAGACCAGAAAATAGAACATCAGAAAGAAAGATTTGACATTTTTCGATCCTGAACGCGCGATTGCTATATCTATCTATCTATCTATCTATCTATCTATCTCTCTCTCTCTCTCTATATATATATATATATATATATATATATATATATATGGTTAGAATGTTCGCTTTCTGACCATGAGACGCGAGTTCGAATCTCACCACAGTTGATTTGTCCGGAAGAAGACTTCCTGATGTTATCGGTCTGAAGAAGGAAGATCCCAGAGTACGGTACCTTTTTAAAGTGTCTGAAACCATACCACGGTTATGAATGAAATTGCGTAGACGAAAAACTTGCTAGCCCGAGTTCAAAGTCGATGGTTTGTGAGTGCTTACCTTGTTCAAATTGTTGATCATGCTAGATAACTCAGTCTTTCCCAGAAGCTGTAACTGTGGCACCATGCATAACTAGAAAACTGAAAAGAGATATTCATAAATATATGATTTGTTTTTTCGGTTTTTTAACCATTTGATAATTATTTAGAGCTGAAAAATATTTCGGGGTTGAGAATAATTCTTTAATTGCGTTCAGGCGATCTTGGAGAAAGAAAGAAAAGAAGAGGAAGAGGGAAGAAAGGAGAAAAATAAATAATACGAAACCAGGTCGTAAGCGAAAACACACACGCTCGACTGGCACATATCAGATGTCAAAAATACCAGGTCAAGCACCTGACCTACTTCCGTGTCCGCGGAGGATGGAAGTTTGTTATCAATTTGGTTGAAGAAATAAAGTTTAGAGACAATGGAAAAATATGATAGGTAACAGGTGGGGAGTTTATCTAAGGATATACAGACAATCCATTAATACGAGAACCCAGACAATTCCAGAATTGAAAATACAGCCACACAAGATGATATTTAGAAAATGCTTTTTTTTTAGATAATTAAGATTTTTGTTGTCAAGCTCCGAGCGAAGGGAAAAAGTGAAATATTTTTATTAGTTCACGTTAACGCCACCCAGTCTGGGAAATACCTTTCTTAGATCGTATCCAATTAGCGATAAAATGTTTGACAAATACCGCGTGTAAAAGAAACCGGGATCGTCATTTCGGTCACAACGAAAAGGACAATTTAAATTTTTGTTTCTTTAAGCAAGGTGTTTCTTCCCCCAGAACAAAGCCACGGATTGTCCACGCCCGATTAAAAACGTCACGAAGGAAGGAGGAAAGATACCGACCAGAGTCTCATTGGCCGAAGGCGGTCACATGATACATGAGGGAGGAGGAGAGACACCCGACCAGGACCCCATTGGCCGAGAGCGGTAACATGATGTGCGAGGGAGGAGGAAAGATGCCCGACCAGGACCCCATTGGTCGAGAGCGGTCACCTGACATACGAAGGACCAGGGGAAGCGGGTATACGCCCCCCCCGAGGCACAGTAAGGAAGTAGGAGTGAAAGTAAGTTACCGAAAATGGAAAATCCCTAATCAGAAATAATACGTATTTAGGATTATCAAGAAAACCCTGGCGCCGACAGACCCAACTCAGTTTTTGACTGCCTCAATAAAAGCGAGACCCCAACCGACAGAAGTTAAGTTGCAGCCACGGATGGCGAGAGAGTTGCGTCGCGGACGGCGAGGGAGTTTGAGCGCGGGCGGCGGGCCCGGTTCATTCGCCCCCTTGCGGGCAAGAGAAGCCGAAGTGAAGCAGCCCATTTGGCCTAAGTGGAGAAGTTGGAATCAAACCAAGCCTAAGAAGAGAAGCTCGTCCAACCCAAGCCGAAGTGAATAAGCTCGTCCAACCCAAGCCGAAGAGAAGAAGTTAATTCGCGCACTGACGGCAGAGATGAGTG